ATGTTACTGAGGCAGCTCCAGTATGTACACGTCATGCTTGTACTGCAATGTTACTGAGGCAGCTCCAGTAGGTGCACGTCATGTTTGTACTGCAATGTTACTGAGGCAGCTCCAGCAGGTGCACGTCATGTTTGTACTGCAATGTTACTTAGGCAGCTCCAGTAGGTACACGTCATGTTTGTACTGCAGTGTTACTGAGGCAGCTCCAGTAGGTGCACGTCATGCTTGTACTGCAGTGTTACTGAGGCAGCTGCAGCAGGTGCACGTCATGTTTGTACTGCAATGTTACTGAGGCAGCTCCAGTATGTACACGTCATGTTTGTACTGCAATGTTACTGAGGCAGCTCCAGCAGGTGCACGTCATGCTTGTACTGCAGTGTTACTGAGGCAGCTCCAGTATGTACACGTCATGTTTGTACTGCAATGTTACTGAGGCAGCTCCAGCAGGTGCACGTCATGCTTGTACTGCAGTGTTACTGAGGCAGCTCCAGTATGTACACGTCCTGCTTGTACTGCAGTGTTACTGAGGCAGCTCCAGCAGGTGTACGTTATACTTGTACTGCAATGTTACTGAGGCAGCTCCAGTAGGTACACGTCATGCTTGTACTGCAATGTTACTGAGGCAGCTCCAGTATGTACACGTCATGTTTGTACTGCAATGTTACCGAGGCAGCTCCAGTAGGTACACGTCATGTTTGTACTGCAATGTTACTGAGGCAGCTCCAGTAGGTGCACGTCATGCTTGTACTGCAATGTTACTGAGACAGCTGCAGTATGTACACGTCCTGCTTGTACTGCAATGTTACTGAGGCAGCTCCAGTAGGTACACGTCATGCTTGTACTGCAGTGTTACTGAGGCAGCTCCAGCAGGTGCACGTCATACTTCTACTGCAGTGTTACTGAGACAGCTGCAGTATGTACACGTCCTGCTTGTACTGCAATGTTACTGAGGCAGCTCCAGTAGGTACACGTCATGCTTGTACTGCAGTGTTACTGAGGCAGCTCCAGCAGGTGCACGTCATACTTCTACTGCAGTGTTACTGAGGCAGCTCCAGTATGTACACGTCATGCTTGTACTGCAATGTTACCGAGGCAGCTCCAGCAGGTGCACGTCATGCTTGTACTGCAGTGTTACTGAGGCAGCTCCAGTAGGTGCACGTCATGTTTGTACTGCAATGTTACTGAGGCAGCTCCAGCAGGTGCACGTCATGTTTGTACTGCAATGTTACTGAGGCAGCTCCAGTATGTACACGTCATGCTTGTACTGCAGTGTTACTGAGGCAGCTCCAGTATGTACACGTCCTGCTTGTACTGCAATGTTACTGAGGCAGCTCCAGCAGGTGCACGTCATGCTTGTACTGCAGTGTTACTGAGGCAGCTCCAGTATGTACACGTCCTGCTTGTACTGCAGTGTTACTGAGGCAGCTCCAGCAGGTGTACGTTATACTTGTACTGCAATGTTACTGAGGCAGCTCCAGTAGGTACACGTCATGTTTGTACTGCAATGTTACTGAGGCAGCTCCAGTATGTACACGTCATGTTTGTACTGCAATGTTACTTAGGCAGCTCCAGTAGGTACACGTCATGCTTGTACTGCAATGTTACTGAGGCAGCTCCAGTAGGTGCACGTCATGCTTGTACTGCAATGTTACTGAGGCAGCTGCAGTATGTACACGTCCTGCTTGTACTGCAATGTTACTGAGGCAGCTCCAGTAGGTACACGTCATGCTTGTACTGCAGTGTTACTGAGGCAGCTCCAGTAGGTGCACGTCATGCTTGTACTGCAATGTTACTGAGGCAGCTCCAGCAGGTGCACGTCATGCTTGTACTGCAGTGTTACTGAGGCAGCTCCAGCAGGTGTTCGTCATGCTTGTACTTCAGTGTTCCCGAGGCAGCTGCAGCAGATTTCCTCACGCCTTGTAGAAAGTGCCATGATCTGACAACAGAAGTCTTGTAAACAAAAGTGACAAATTGTGCGATTCCGACTATATCATAAGCATGTGTCTATAAATCGCTATCAAAAATCGATGAAACCAGGTGTTCTCGAAAAAGTGAGATGATCCTGCCCAACTGGTGGCACCCATTACAAACACATGCAAAGGCAAGTCAATTGATAACCCGAAATAATACGCATGGTCAAAATACGGAACTCCATCGGACATCATTTTTGTTACTGATGCGTCAAATTTGGAAATATCCTTCACATGTCTACCATAAAACTTCCGAAAGCTTAACTGAGGCCTTGGGAGTTGACCCGTTGATCAAGAAACTTTTGAGCAAGAGTCGTATGACGCTCTTTGAAATCTTCGAGGATTGTACCTCAAATGTTGTGAAAAGGAGACACCATACGCTGGAGCTACAGGAACACGGTTCGGCATCAAGGGCAAGATGGCCATTGGAAAGCTGAGGTCACTCACTCCGCATCTTCAAAACAGATCTAACTACGAAACAGACGAGGCTGGTCGCCTTTATTTCCAGTTCATTGTGTAAATCTGTGGAAGGGAATTGGGTATATGATGGTCATTGAACGATATCAGATATGGATAAAACTGAAGCTAAAGTTAAAATTGCCTTTTTTTGATTTGCCAAACCGAGCAAACATTCATAATGATACATATCAACAAGAAAAAAGCACAATTTGTACGTCTGACCGCATGTCTTTTATTCAGGAATTAGTGCTCTCTCTCTCTTCACGACGAAGGGGGCACGGATGGCCCAGTCGTTTAAGGCGCCGCGATTCGTTGTGCACAGTTGCGTCCATTGGACACACTAGAAACCTATAATTGTGGGTTCGAATCCCGGTTCGACCTGATTATGTTTCGAGGTTTGTCAACACCATACCGGTGCTTGTCCTGGGCTTTCCTCACACATTAAGCTGACACGTCGTGACATAACTGGAATAATGTTCAAAGCGGCCTTAAACCCAACCCACTCACTCACTCTTCACGGCGACGGTATGGATTAGACTGACCGTTTTGGTGCAGTTCATGGAGATCATTCTATGTTTTGATCTGTTTAACACTGGACTAAAAGCACCAAGGAACCGCTGTGCTGCGTCAGGCAATAAATACTTACTTTTTTATGTAACTTGTAAACCGGTAGGGCAGGACATGCTCACCCTGTTCGCGAACACCTGGTGTCATCACTGATGTTCAGTGGTCCATTCATGGTGGAATCTGTTTCGGCAGAAAATCTAGGCCTGTTATTCTCTTGCATTGACAATTTATATTCCTCAATGTTTCAGTATATTGGTGATACGAATCCCCAGGAGAAACCTTATAGAGCCCAATGCTGACTTTGCATCAGGTTCCTAAAGCTCGGTAAGACTTCACAGTAAAGAATATTGTGGATATTTATACCCCTTGTTCCCAAGCCATTTATGTTTAGGTACGACAAATACCTCGCATGAAAGTCTATTTTGCCAAAAGTTATGGAAAGCGTCGCGTGTCCTCACTGTCGCATTAAAGTTGTAACTTGCGTGAATTGTTTTGAATTGTGGTGGGTGTTGATGTTGATATCGCTTTTAGCAATAGTGTATAATGGCGGTAAATACCACAACCGGGTTCCTGTAATGTCGAGCTCGGGTGTTGACGAGTCAGTGCTGTGGGCACCCCACCCACTCCTCGACATAGGTTTACAATACACATCAGGGCGACATCTTAAAACTATCATTGACATATTAAATTACATTCATGAGAACACGGTTGAAATATTCGTGAAAGACAAAACAGAAGTCAGGATGCGCTGAAAATAGCTTTAATCTGCTCAAAGATACTCATAACACCACCGAAACCAATTGATGATCGGAACTGTAAATACACGTACACATTTAGATTGGCGTCACGTAGTCGTATAGTTTCATGACACTGACATGAGCGAGGACTGTACCAGTGAGTGATTATAGACAGAACTATAGTAACAGACTCAAGAAATTCTTCCTCGAACAGGTTTTGTTCATGATGTCATGGCAAACCAGTATTACTCTGTGACTTGCTCCAGATTTCACGATATGCTGCACGTGATTTCCACACTTTCCACGCTAATCCTGCACGAGGCAAAAGGTGCATTTCGAATCATGAATCTATGACGTCACATGTGATGCGTTTATGAGCGTCAATTCACACAACGTACTAGTATGTTCGTTTGTGGTTCGAACCAATCTAATATCTCTTGAGTTTGAATATTTTTTCATGTATTAACCAACATGTATGGTATTCGCATTTATTTTGTAGATGAATACATATTTCATAATGAAATGACGTAAGACGTGTATGTATTCTGTGTAAAGGGAGTGTATGTATTCTGTGTAAAGGGAGTTATGTATTCTGTGTAAAGGGGGAGTATGTATTCTGTGCAAAGGGAGTGTATGTATTCTGTGTAAAGGGAGTGTATGTATTCTGTGTTAAGGGAGTGTATGTATTCTGTGTAAAGGGAGTGTATGTATTGTGTAAAGGGAGAGTATGTATTCTGTGTAAAGGGAGAGTATGTATTCTGTGTAAAGGGAGAGTATTTATTCTGTGTAAAGGGAGAGTATGTATTCTGTGTAAAGGGAGAGTATGTATTCTGTGTAAAGGGAGTGTATGTATTCTGTGTAAAGGGAGAGTATGTATTCTGTGTAAAGGGAGAGTATGTATTCTGTGTAAAGGGAGTGTATGTTTTCTGTGTAAAGGGAGTGTATGTATTCTGTGTAAAGGGAGTGTATGTATTCTGTGTAAAGGGAGTGTATGTATTCTGTGTAAAGGGAGTGTATGTATTGTGTAAAGGGAGAGTATGTATTCTGTGTAAAGGGAGTGTATGTATTCTGTGTAAAGGGAGTGTATGTATTCTGTGTAAAGGGAGTGTATGTATTCTGTGTAAAGGGAGCGTATGTATTCTGTGTTAAGGGAGTGTATGTATTCTGTGTAAAGGGAGTGTATGTATTCTGTGTTAAGGGAGTGTATGTATTCTGTGTAAAGGGAGTGTATGTTTTCTGTGTAAAGGGAGTGTATGTATTCTGTGTAAAGGGAGTGTATGTATTCTGTGTAAAGGGAGTGTATGTATTCTGTGTAAAGGGAGTGTATGTATTCTGTGTAAAGGGAGTTATGTATTCTGTGAAAAGGGAAACCTTGTTGCTTCTATAGCCTAGACTCCCCATAGAAACCTTGTTGCTTCTGTAGCCTAGACTCCCCATAGAAACCTTGTTGCTTCTGTAGCCTAGACTCCCCATAGAAACCTTGTTGCTTCTGTAGCCTAGACTCCCCATAGAAACCTTGCTGCTTCTGTAGCCTAGACTCCCCATAGAAACCTTGTTGCTTCTGTAGCCTAGACTCCCCATAGAAACCTTGTTGCTTCTGTAGCCTAGACTCCCCATAGAAACCTTGTTGCTTCTGTAGCCTAGACTCCCCATAAGAACCTTGTTGCTTCTATAGCCTAGACTCCCCATAGAAACCTTGTTGCTTCTGTAGCCTAGACTCCCCATAGAAACCTTGTTGCTTCTGTAGCCTAGACTCCCCATAGAAACCTTGCTGCTTCTGTAGCCTAGACTCCCCATAGAAACCTTGTTGCTTCTGTAGCCTAGACTCCCCATAGAAACCTTGTTGCTTCTGTAGCCTAGACTCCCCATAGAAACCTTGTTGCTTCTGTAGCCTAGACTCCCCATAGGAACCTTGTTGCTTCTGTAGCCTAGACTCCCCATAGAAACCTTGTTGCTTCTGTAGCCTAGACTCCCCATAGAAACCTTGTTGCTTCTGTAGCCTAGACTCCCCATAGAAACCTTGTTGCTTCTGTAGCCTAGACTCCCCATAGAAACCTTGTTGCTTCTGTAGCCTAGACTCCCCATAGAAACCTTGTTGCTTCTGTAGCCTAGACTCCCCATAGAAACCTTGTTGCTTCTGTAGCCGAGACTCCCCATAGAAACCTTGTTGCTTCTGTAGCCTAGACTCCCCACGGTGGGCCATGGTAAGAAGGAGGCAGTTAATAAACGTTTTAAAGATACCCGTCCTCAGCATATCAGTCTTTGACCTGTTTCTTTAACTTTGGTAACCAGCTATTTTTTTACGTGCCCAACATTTGCGCATATTCCCCAAACTCCAGAGACAAATGTTGCGGCTACCACGCGGAGTAACCAAATCCACAGACCCGACCACAGGTATGCCAGGCAAGAAGGGCTGTGGTCCAATACTGGCCACTTCTTTAAAAGCAACACTACTGATGAAATCGTAGTATTTCTATTTTGGTCTATCATTCACAATATGCCACATACAGATGCAATACGAAGCATGTAACTGAAGCAGCACCAACGTTTGATCGTTTCTGCGTTCTAAGTGGTTGTAGAGACCACCCTCAACACATGTGGTTTCGGCTTTGTGGGGAGGTTATTTGTAATGTGTAACCATATACTGTCTTTACAAAATAATTCAAGTGTCCAAGCAATAACATCAAACACCATAGGAATATGTAGAATTGGGGACAGATAAATATTATCAAGGAACCCTTTCCATTATCCTAAGAAATCTCTGATAGAAGGGGCCAGACATAGCATTTGATCGCGGTGTGTGATAAACTGTTATGTAGTTGAAAGTGACTGTACGTGGGTTGTGTTACTCTGTGATGCACCATGTGTTATGGAGTTGATATTGACTGTACGTGGGTTGTGTTACTCTGTGATGCACCATGTGTTATGGAGTTGATATTGACTGTACGTGGGTTGTGTTACTCTGTGATGCACCATGTGTTATGGAGTTGATATTGACTGTACGTGGGTTGTGTTACTCTGTGGTGCACCATGTGTTATGGAGTTGATATTTAGGGTGTACATGCTGGTAATGGCTGTGGATGCTGCGGTTCGCTCTCAATTTCATCCACCTCCCGCTTTACCTCGTTCATGGAGTTATAGGACTTGTCTGTCGATTTCTCTCGCTTGTCTGCAAATGCTAGAAGTAGATTATATGATCCAGATAGCTGTATTTCTTTATGAAGCCAAATCAACATTAAGAACATGATGAAATATATCATGGCTTCCACTAAATAAGCAAAACCCGGGAAGAAGAAGACAGAGGCGGCATATATATTTGTGAACAGAATCGTTCCTATCAACTTAGAGGCAGTTTCTCCGCTCGCAACAAGTGAGAAGGTTTTTCCAAGCTCGTCCTCACTCACGTGTTTGCTCATGAGAGATCTCAGGGCAGAGGTAATCATTCCAGCCAGGGCTCCTATAACTACGGAAGTATACACCATCCACGTCTCAGAGCAAAAGCCCGCCCACACAGACCGCACAAGCTTACATCCTATACCTATCATCACAATGAACACATCCGGGATTTTCATGACTGAAGACAGAACCGGTAGGAAGAGGAGGAGGCACACTCCCATGACAGCATAGTCCAGAGAGAGGAGGTAGCCATACCAGGACTCCGGCCAATACAGAGGGCTCCTCTGAACAAAAAGAACAGTAACATCCATCTCGCCCACCTTACACGTCTGGTTGATGATGGTGGCGATGAACAGGATGACGACGATGCAGCGGGTGTTGTCTTTACGTTTCTTGAAGAGGACCATCAGTGAATCCCTGATTCCTGAGATGTTAAACAGTGAGCAGGATCGGTGTGGGTCTCCAGTGGCCTTCACCGACTCCTCCATACAGAAGACAGTGGTGAGGACTGACGAGGCATGGAAGACCGACACCACACAGAGCGTCACCTGGATGTTTGTGGTATCCTGGAGTGTCCCAGACAACAGGGAGCCAGCAAACAAACCAAAGAAGTTCATGGCCAGGAGTTTTCCTAGCTTCCTTGTACGTTGATCCTTGTCCGTAATGTCAGCGGCGTAACTGTTCACGGCCATTGTGATGACAGAACTTTTGCCAAAGATGCCCTGAACTGACGCACCTGTGAGGATGAGGACTAGGGAGTAGTCAGGGTACTGGACACTGATCAGGTACAGAATCACAGCAAACACACTTCCAAGACTTGGAATCATCATGGGGATTTTGCGGCCATACTCGTCACTCCATGCACCACAGAATAAGCCAAGAACGATGGCGGGAACGTTCACTAAGATCCGGTAGTACATGAGATAAGAGGCCGCTTCGCTCTGAATCTTGTCCTCGTGCTGGTGGAACAGGCTGATCTCGGTACACACCGTGGTGTTCCTGTGGTACATGTGCTTACACACTGCCTGCACGATGTAGGGGCGGATAGTCGCGTCCAACATGGACTCGCCCGTCTTATAGAGGAAGAAAATGGTTTCCGCCATGAACGTTGAAAATGAGCACCAACTGACGAGCATCATTGTGATGGGCGTCTGGTTGTAGATCTGAAATGTACAAAGTCAGGTCGTTAGTTTCATATTATTTTTCATCTAAATAGAGTGCTGTTATACAATGCACAGTTATACAATATATAGTTAAACAATATAAACTGTTGTATTAGGGTATATGTAACTGCTGCAGCTGTCAATGACGTGCAAGGACATTACTGCATGTACGTGACGGTGTGCATATCAGATGACCGGAAACGGTACGTTTTTCACGGATGCACGTGAACAGGCAAACCTTAATGGATTTCTTTGATCATCTTTATATTGGAAACAACGTTTTAATAAATACAAAATGGGAACACTAGCCAGGAACTGGACGCCAAAACGACTTACAGAACGCGAACTCGCCGTATCTAAAAGTAATGACAATGTTCCACTTACTGAAAACATGCAGATAACTGTTAACAAGAACAACCACACTGTAAATAGTTAGTGTCACATAAATCCCACATGCGTCACACTGATTTACAGCACAAAAAATATCCAAAATAATTTCAGGAAATAGACCATCAAACACACTTAACACAGCTAGATTTGATCCTCAAACAGTGAATGCGAAATGTTCAAATCGCCAGGAGGAAACAGTCAACAATCTCAAGGTATCCATTTTGTTGGTGGCGTCAGCACATTGTTTGTCAGTTATGAACTGTCTAAAACATAACGATTAATCTTGTTGCACCTCCAACTCCAGTTCCATTCGAACGGTATTTGATTGTCGTCGAGAACGACAGCAACATAAATGTACTGTTGTCACCTCTCCGTGTGTGAGGCTTTGTTTCAATGATAAAAGTTGTGAAATTACACCAAACAATGAAATGATATTGTTGTAATTATTGTGGTATGTTGTAATTGTGATATTGTCATTCCGCTACTTTTACATGTATACTTTTATGTTCATACATATTTGAAAAACCTATAAGCATAATCAAATTAAGAAATATAAAGTAAGGATTATATTATTAAAGCCAAACCTTATCGCCAATCACAGTTGGCGCACTAACGTCACACACTGAAAGTACTATTACATAATTAAATGTCACAGCTTGGCGTCTCCCTCCTTGGTGACGGTGTCCGCCATTTGTAATTAAGGACTGCTGAGTGACGCAACAAGCGACTGCCACCTGTCAGGCATGTATTGTCCAATCAGAATGTCACACTTCGTGTAATAAAGTCATGACGTACAGAATGACTTATCATTATTTCATGCGACCCCCTAGCGTCAATCAGGAGATGACGGTGACACACCCATACGGGAGTAAAGTAGTGACTTGGTCGCACCAAGAAGTGACAGTTATACGCCAGCGACGCACCAAACTTTTAACAATATTTCTGTTTTAGGAACTCGGCGAATGGATTTTCCTCAAAGAAGTTATTGGGTTATTTGTTTGGCTTGATTGCCAAGGAATAAATGACTTGTATATCTACGCATAATGTACCGCAAGATTTCTGCAATTTTGGTGTATTTGTTTCTTAAAAAACGTTTAAGGTGGAAATGAAAATCGTTAAGTATTTCCCATACAAAAAAGACCCGTGAGTTATGTATCTATTTGACTGTGACATGAAAGGAATAGAGAGATTTGCTGAACCATCACTGACGTATCATGCTCTGGACTGGTCTAGTTAAGGCAGGGGGCGCATGGATTAAAGTGGGAAGGGGGTGAAAAAATGGACGAATCTCCTTAACCCTCATGGTAGCTGGGTGTGAACACCGCGCTGTGCTGACGCTACAGGTATAAAAGTATTCGCATGCGAGAATGAGTTCGCGGGTAACTCCCAGGTCAGACAACACCTCCACCATGGCCATTCTCTAACTTACCCTCCCTCTGTAGCGGCAACTTGGCCCCTTGACGTCATTTAGGAGGTGATACTATTTCAACAGTTTGGATTAAAGTGGTACCTGAAAGCTTGTAACGTTTGGAGTGAGTTTCCTAGGAAAGACACTTTGGGGTACACACTCGTTACAAGCCACAAGGTGAGCGGAACGTCTGGGTTCGATCAACTACTTGGACGATCATCTGCAAATGAATGAAATTTGACAAATTTCCTTGATGGGCTGCAGCACGTGCGAGAGTGGCACCAAAAACGCATCACTTATCGATAATGTAAAGAGGTTTGTGAAATAAGGGTGGGTTGAGGTGAAATAGGGTTCAACTTCGCGTCCAAGCTTAATGCATTTATATAGCAACGTGTATGCACGTGTGTGTGTGTGGTTGCTTGTACTGGTATGGACTGATGCCGATTTATAGTGCTAGCACACTGAGATACCATGCCATAGTTTAACATGAATACATCACTCAGACATAGTTTACTGACTCCGAGCCGAACAGTCCTTGTTTTAGCCCCTTAATGCCGAGCGCCAGGCAGGGTAACAACAAGTACCATCTTTCATCGTTTTTTGGTATGACGCGGCTGGGGATCGAACCCCCGGAGCTTCCACTCTCCGGACGGACACTCTACCACCAGACCACGGAGGCGGTCCTGTGAAATGAAGAAAAGGTGAACGTTCAACCAAGGTAGGATACAACGACGAGTTCCATTCTATCAACTAGGAACTGCACATGTACTGGAATAATATTTTTCAAGACATGACGTTCGTAATTAGAAACAATGACAATGTGCGATGGTATGAATCAATTGAATCCACACATGGGATGGTTATCGCTATTGTTTGACGAGGTTAATTTAGTCAGAGAAATAAAAACAACATGATTTTCATTATCACATATAATATATGCTTTAAGCAGCCCATAGTCCCATTTTATAACAAGAATGTGTTGATGAGTAACTGTCAAAAAGTGATGAAAATAACTGTTGGCAAAAAGGTTAGAGTATCCTGACCCACCAGTTGCAGCTGAAAAAATACTGAACATTTGTTTATGGACAAAATAGGAAACTCGAACTCCATTCTTGCCACTGATGCGTCACATTTAGAAATACCCTCTACATCTATAATAAAACGTTTTGAACGCGTTGCTGATGTCTGGGATGTTGTCACTCGGATGAAGTAACTTTTGAGCATGAATCGTATGACGCTGTTTGAAATATTGGTGGAACGAGCATTATTGATTGTCCATCAAAGTTGTGAAATGTAGACACCACAGACTGGAGCTGCTGGAGAATTGCTCGATATAAAGGGAACGTTGACTACTGGAAAGTGGAAGCCATCCCTCTTGTCGTAGTCTTGTGGAGAGGGTTTGTCACTCGATATCAGATCATTGATATACCTGATGCTTAAGCTAAACCTCTTGGTCAAACTACCTTGGTTTGATTTTGCCAATCCAAGCAGAAATTCTGATTGATAGAAACCGACCAGCAAGAAGGGAAGCACAATTGGTGAGAATGGTGGTGCCTAAATAGCGTATCCCAAACTTTAACATAGACCTTATCAGTGACATCTTTCCGAGGCAAGGGAGTTAACTGACTATAAGAGTCCAGTTTCCACCCTTGCCGAACTAGGCTGGAATTCCTGGGCTCGACCGTAGCGCCACCAGTGGTTATTACGAGTTATGTTCCTTCTAAGCCTCTCCTATGAACCAATCAGATTCCACCTCTCTTATCACTTGCATTTGATTCAAACAAAATGGTGGCGCCCAGTCAAAACGATCTGATTGATAATCAAGATCTATATTGTGATAAAACGGGTCTTACATAGCCAAGTGCATCAAATCACGTGAGCACCTTGATTAAAAACATGAAAAGACTTGGAAAATATCTGTTGACAACGAGTTGGCAGTGCACATGCTTTGCAAATCCTGCAATCGACAGAAATCTGCACGACATTTTACAAACCGGATTTTAATTTCCGTGCGCGATTTTGATTGGACAATGCATAGACTCGTAAGCCCAGCCAAAATGTAACTCCATAATACCAGCCTAGTTCAGTTAACTCCCTTGCCTCGGGAAGATGATCAGTGAGGAAGTCCAGCATTTCACACGTTGTCTTCTCAGTAAATTGCAGATGACATTTGCTTTCATTTTTGACACATTTTCCTAGATCGCTGAAGAAGGAGATGCAGCGCCATCTATGGTCACCACATTGGTGAGACAAGCCCGGTGGATTTAGGAATGTCGAGTGGGTTGGAGGTCTACAAAGTTGAAAAATCAAATGTTTTGACATATTGAACTTTATTCTTTTCTGAGATTGTGAAATACCAAGCAAATCCTCGTACCTTTTTATGCAAATCCACATTGATATTAATTCCATTTGTCTCAAATACGTTCTGTGAATATAAGGAAACTCTCTATGTACTGATGTTTATGGAGCTTTCAATCCAGTACAAAGTGGAATGGACATGTCTTGATGTTTTATAGTCAAGTCAAAGTTGATAGTACTGATGCGTGGTTTTGGCAGATTTCTTCATAAGTGAACATTCTGGCTTTATATGGGACATTATTTGACATGTCACTTATATCAAACTCTGTGATCAAAGAATTAATATAGTGATGCTTACAGACAAAGCTGATGTTATTTCAGCCTTGTCAGTGGGAACACCTACAAACTGTTCATGCAGGACAGCCAGACGTTGGATGACAGCTGGCTTGGACAGAATGGATTTTTTTCCATTTCTTTCCCCTTTTTCAGTTTGTGCATGCTACAAATGACGTCACGCATTGACTTAACCCACTCAGAAAGACATTCAACGGGTTCCTTTTCTCTTTTGGACGATTTGGGCACATGTTCGACACCATACCTAATGATCTTAAAGTCAGTGTTTATGTCAGCGCTCTTTTATGGCAGATGAAAACACCCTACAGGTGACACGATTTAAAGGATTGATAAATACCCCAGGAAAAAACTCAAAAAAGCATATTTAAATACGAAATAGGTACCTAAATGATCAAAAAACCTGCCGGTAGCATCGGCAATTCACACAATTTGCTTAACAAATAAGTATATATTGCTACAGCAGAACTCCCGCCAGGCGACGGCGGCCTGCAAACAAACCAGACGATGAAGTGATCGATGAACCAGAAATTCCAGTACCACGATAGTGCAT